GGAAATTATTTCAAAACAAATATCATCGGAAAATATTTCTTCTCGTTGAAGCGACACTAGTTTTTTCTTTTTTGCTTTCTCCATGTTTTATTGATGAATAGTTCATCCTCCNGAAATTAATTTTCAAAATCTTGTCTGCTTTGTTTGCTATTTTTTTTGCAAGTTTTCTGATGTTCTTTGGAAATGTGACATCTTCTATAATTCCCTACTAAAAGCTGGATGGAAATTAGGTATTTGCCTAGTTCATTAAGGGGATAGGTAATTGTGAAGCTGGCGTAGCTCAGTCGGTATTATATTTAATAATTTTAAATTTTAACGTAGCGCAGTCATTTAACGTTGCGTTAATTAAATTTGTATGTCATTCAATTCAAAATTGAAATTGATACATTGCTCTCTATCAATAAAATTGTAACGTAGCTCTTTCAATAAACGTTGCTATAATTAATTTATTTATTTACAATTTTCATTCCAGTTTTTCTTTTAGTTTTAATATGTGCATGAATTGGATCAAAATTAACTTGAGCTCTATAATCTGTTTCAACTTGATCTACTGATAAATATGATGTATTATTTAAATTTGGAAAATATTTTGATCTTTTTCCTTTAAAATCTTTAATTATTGGTGAAACTTTTTCTTGTTCATTTTCTTTAAATTCATAAATATTAAAATTTTTATCAAATTCTATTTTCATTGATAAAATTAAATTTAAAAATAATAATCCTTTTCTTTAAAAAAAATAAAATTTTAACGTAGCGCAGTCATTTAACGTTGCGTTAATTGCGTTGGTATGTAATTCAATTCAAAATTGAAATTGATACATTCAATAAAATTGTAACGTAGCTCTTTCAATAAACGTTGCTATAAATGACTGCGCTACGTGATTTGTTATATTAGAGAATTATTAAAGTATTTAATGAAGAATGCAAGCTGGCGTAGCTCAGTCGGTAGAGCGTTGGTCTAATAAGCCATTGGTCGCCGGTTCGATCCCGTCCGTCAGCATTAAATTTTTTCTTTGATCACAAATTATCAAATGGCTTGGAGGGAGTTAACTTTATCGTTAATTTTGATCTATTACCCATTTGCTTACAAGCCATTGTTGAATTTTTGGTCTCAAGAACTAATCGTAACTCCCTGGATCATGTTCACACATCCTTCTTCCTTCAGATCATAAAAAGAACAGGCAAGATGAACATACCACAAGAAAATCAAAAAAAATGGGCTTTTTTAAAAGTAAGAAATCAGCAGCTGCTGTCGATGAAGAAATAAGTGAACTTGAAAAATCATCAACGACACCAAACAACACAGAAACAACATCCAGCAAACAACCAACAGCAACAACTCCAGCAAAAACTGAAGTTTTGGACAAACCAAAAGAAACAAGTCAACCATCAATTAGTTCAACTACAAATACAACCACAAATGCAACCGATGACAAAAAAGAAATTGCAACCACAACTACTACCAGCAAGAAGGATCTTCCAACCGATAGTTTTATTCATGTCCAAGTAACTGGAGAGAAGTTTTCCGATAAAGCATCCACACTGTTGCCATTAGTTTCTCATCATGTTAAATGTCATGTTACTTATCCTATTGTTCAAGTGGTTTCTACTATGACATTTAATAGTCCACATGGTAAAACAATTGAAGGTGAATTAGTGTTGCCAATGCCTGATGGAGCAACCATGATGGGTTATGCAATGGAAGTGAATGGTAAATTGGTTGATGCTGTTCCAGTTGAGAAGGAAAAGGCAAAAGCTGTATTCGAAAGTGAAGTTAGAGCTGGAGGAACTGTTTCAATTGTTGAAAAGTTGACTCAAGCTTCTAATTGTTTCAAGACAAAGGTTTATCCAATGCATCCAAATCA